TTGTAACCCGCCCGAATGGTATGAATGTTGCGTATTAATCATGTACTGTCTTATATGTAAAAGTCTGTTTTCCCCCCCTTCCTTTGGATTGTGAGCCGCCCTGAGTCCCCCCAGGGAAAAGGGCGGCATACAAATAAACAATCTAATCTAATCTAATCTAATTATTTAGCACACAATCACACTTGTGCAAGACGTTTCATTGTATGGGAAGCATCATCGCATTAGGCAAAACACTGAATGATGAGAGTTTTAAGAGCCTTAAACAATACCAGGATGGCTGCGGACTAAATTAGCCACATAGAAAGATTAGACAATTGATAACCTTGTCTTTATGTTGCTAAAATGAAGACAAACTCTTCTGTGTCCTTGTTTTTACTCCATCTCTTGACAACTCTGGGGAAAGCTGAACAAACTTTGAGTGTTCATACAAGGTAGAATATAAACTTGAATCATCATGATTATCCCGACGGCATCAGCAGATCAGCGTCACAACCTACAACAAACAGATCAGCTTCCTCAGAACTACCTTCACAAGGAGCCTTAGGAAAATTGGGAAGTCCCCAGGATTCCTGTCAAACTGGATTGGGAGCAAAGCCCAAACAGGTCCACAATGGCACAAAACTGGAAGAGGTCCAGTATCTCTGTTTACATTGTGATTTGGAGATGACAAGTCCTGGATGGAGGTGTTGTAATAATCTTCTACCCACCCTTAATGCTCACAGTATTCTTTACTGTTCAACAGCAGTAATTGTGTGTGCTGGTATTTACACAAGAGGCTTTGAGGCAGACATCAAGAAGAATGTTATGAGAAATTGAGTTAACACATTTGTTTTGAGAGTGTAGTTGGTTAAGCTATGGGGCTGATTCAGGACCTTTTGGCTCTTAAGATGAAAGGCAAAATGGCATCAACTATGCATGGACAAACACAAGCAGGATCGATAATGGAATCCTTCAACCCTGGTTGTGGGACAGACTGGCTGCTGATTCTCAATGCAACAGACAAGCAGAGGGCCTCCCAAAGAGCTTGACCCTTTCCCCTGACTTTATCTTTCCATCTGTAGCGTCCCCCAATTACTATACCACTGTTGAACACATGTAGGGTATTCAACTACATTCCAGTGCATTTAGAGTCATGCATATACAGCCATGCAACAAAGGATGAGATTATGAGCAACAACCCAGACTGCAATCTGGTAGGTCCACCCAACAGATCTACAGATTGTGCAAGGGACAATACAAAGAGAGTGTCTAATGGTGAGCCACACTATCCGCACTGCAGTCCAAATCCACTCCATGCCAATACCGCACAATACCTTCAGAATGAACCGCCGGCGATAAACCCTCGTAATGATCCTCTGCTCTTCACCTGAACTTGAATCACTCTGAATCTCACATTCACTGTCACTGTCACTGAACTCCTGATAAATGTAGTTTTAGGACATTTTTACTGGCTCATTGAAAACATAAAAATTAATCTGAGCAAGAAGATGTCAGAGTATGAATATTCATAGACTGGAATAGGCAACAGATCAGCCAATGGTGACTGTTTGGCTAGACATGACAACAGGTCAGACAATGGAGACTGTTTAGAAACTGAAACAGTATTTGCTGTGTGAGCAACAAAGAAACAGCAAGGAGCCTGAACATGGCTTAGCTCTGAGGATCTGAGTCTGTGCTGAGCTCTAAACTTGTCTGCTGTTCTGAACAGAAACTGAAACTGTTCTCTCCTCTGCCTATGTTTGCTTGTATTTGCTACCAAGTTGGAAAACCTGCTTTTGGTATTGTATATTTATTCATGTGTTATATTACCTATAAAGAGAATTTAATGAATCCTGCTGAATCAGTTATCTGTGTTTGCTTTCTGGATGTGACTGCTGCAACAAACTCTGACAGAAGAAAGGGAAAATGGTTTCCCCCAAATTTAGATTCACCTCCCTCAACTACCATGCTGGGAATGTGTGTCATTTTGCCTCATATCATTTACGGCATAAAAAACAGAGTTGCACATGCTTGCAACAGCTGTAAATTCTTGTGTCTACAAGCTTTTTATGAGGAAGGAGGGACCAGAGTGCAGACACGCCCTTCTTACACATTGCCCCACTATTCCTTGCTACCCTCAAAGATCCTTTCATGTTATAGCAACAGCTCTATTTTTTCCAAAACTCAAGCTAGTCTCACAGTGGTATATGCCCAACGCCCCCACCTCTTTCTAGACCAAACTAAGATTAGTAGCACATTGTTGTTGTTGTTGTTAAACAAGATTTGAAAACTACTTGAAAAAGCAGTTTCAAATTTGAGTTATACCAAGAATTTTGCTTAATTCTGCAGAACAGCAAGGTAAAATAGTCCCTTATGCTTTAGCTCTCCCATCCAGCCTTATGTATATTTTCCCAGCCAACAAGGTATATTCTGTCATGGGAAAGAATGGCTGAAAAGTGCACTATTTGCATGGAGAATCCACCCTCAAGCTGGAAGTAAGTAAGTTGCTACTCAACTGAAGAACTTTCTAGGGATTTCTGCCACCCCAAAATGGGCTAAGCTAGGATTTGATGGCATTTGGCAGATGGATGCACCTTATATATATTTCCTGCCCTTTGTAGGACTTTTACTGATGGGTCTCAGCTCAGTTTTGTATTGGGCACAAGCATCTCATTGATCTGTGTATCCACACCAGTGGTGAAATTCAATTATTTTTTACTACCGGCTCTGGTGGCCGTGGTGTGGCTTGGTGGGCGTGGCTTGGTGGGCATAGCAGGGGAAAGATACTGCAAAATCTCCTTTCCCACCCTACTCTGGTGCCAGCCAGAGGTGGTATTTGTCGGTTCTCCGAACTACTCAAAATTTCCGCTACCGGTTCTCCAGAACCTGCTGGATTTCAACCCTGATCCACACATTGAGAACCTGGCTTTAATCAAGGTCATCGGGGAGTTTGGAGAATGAATGGGGAGGGGGAACTGATTCCCACATGGCCACACAAGGGTCCCTGGCATGCAGCAGCTGATCCCTCGGCCCTGAGACATGGAGGGAGGAGCAGCTGTAGAGGAAGCAAGAATGGGTGGCAAAAGATGGCCTGTCCCCTCCTCCCTGAGCAAATCAAAGTTTGTGGCTTTTATACCTTTTGTTCTGAAGCAGCTGCTGTCCCATCATCTTCCTGAGCTTTTGACCTTGGCTTGCTGCTGTCAGAAATATTCCAGCTTGTCTTTTTCATGCTAACAGGCACAGAGGTTTTAGGTGTATCAACTGCTGGCTTGCTTGCCTCTTGCAAGGATTTGTGGTGGGATGTTAATGAGATTGTTTGCTGCTCAGTTCGCAGAGAGCTTTGCATTTTTGGTTTCACAGTTTCCTTGTCGCTCTGTTTTCCTTGGCTGTTCACAGAGTCCTGGACAAAAGTCTTCCCCTTTGCTTCTAACGTGGATTCTGAGTAGCTCCCATTGGTCTCCAGCTTTCCTGCTTCCCCTTTGAAATATGAGGTAATAGAATCTCTGCATTGACCAGGGCTGCAAGAGAGGAAGAGCCAAACCCAAGAAATAAGTCATGGTATCATTGCATCACCTCTCCATAGCTGCTCATCAACAGGCTGGCATTTCTGACTCAGAAAAACCCGAGACTGCAGCTCTAGGCAAGTCATTATCTACAAGTTGTGGCTCTGGGAGTTGAGATCATTCCAGATGTGCCACAGGATGGATCCAGCCAATACGAGCCTTGAAGGACCATTGTGATCCTCTTCAGAAATAAAATCTGGACTTGAGCAAGGTGAGCTCTAGACTTGCTCCTCTGGCTCCAGAATGGCAAGGTGCTTTTGAAAAGCAGACAAGCTCCACAAGGAAGAAAGATTTTCCCCCAAAAGATATTGACACACAGATCCTGGATTCTTGTGGAAACAGCCTACAGCTTTTGAAATTATCTCTCTGTGTTCCCAACGTTATTGGAACAGCTAACAAGATCCTGATAAAATTGCCAGATGTTGTAGGCACATCCACAAGGAGCAGGAACCCTTGGTGATCATTCTGGAGCTTTGGAATGGCCTCCCCAGAGCCTGGTTGTCTTTGTCTCTCTCTCCCTCCCTCCTTCTCCCTCTCTCCTTCTCTCTCTCCCACCTCTCCCTCCTTCTCTCTCTCCCCCTCCCTCTCCCTCCTTCTCTCTTCCCCCTCTCCTTCCGTCCCTCTCCCTCCCTCCCTCTCTCTCATATTTGAGCTTTTTTAAAATCCTTTGAGAGCTACACTCAGTCTCCGTCTAGAATTCTTTCTATCTCTACTTTGAATGAGGATGTTGAAGTGCTGGTTTTGATTTCACTGCCCTAAATATCCATGTACTGCTATGTCTTGAGAACATCACCCTTTGTCTATAAAATATCATTAACTAAATACTTAAAGCTATTGGTCCCTGCTTTTCAAATGTCAAATGTTTACATGCTTCCAACTAGCAGGAAACAAATTAAGTTAAGTATTTTTTTTAAAAAAAACAACTGTCTATCACATGGGAAAAGCAGAAGAAGGGATCAATCTGAGGCTTGGCTGTATCAGCCTTATGGCTCCGTACCTGTCATCCAATCGATTTAGCAACTCTCCACTTATTCTGCGTCCTGAAGACGTCGGTTCCACCTTCACTCGGGGGGCCTCATTCTGCCAACCTGCAATTGAAGACATTTCCTGTTCGGCCTGCTGCACATACTTAAGTATAGACAAGGCTTTCTCTTCTGTCATTTCCTCAGACTCGGCTATTTCTTCAAGGCAAATATCTTCAAAGAGAGACTTAAGCTTTTTGTCCGTCGGCTCCTCATCAGCACCAGACCAATTTCTCTCGTGGCGTTCAGTCCTCACTAAGGGTTGACTACTATCGCTTGGCGTCTGCATTCCAGCATAGCTACCCAGATAGCGAGGATAATCCTTAAGGTGGATTTCTTCCAGGGGGTTTTGGCCTCCGTCTTTAGAGGCTCCTTCTAGAGGCACCGAGTAATCGTATCTGCCGTCTTCCAGGGAGATGTCTTCTTCAATGACCACGGGAGGTCCTGCGGCCGTCTCCTCTAGGTTTCCCTGTGAAGTTGCTAAGACATCACTCAGTCTACTAGGAGTTCTAAAGGGTGATTCTATGCTAGAGAAATCGCTAGCCAAATCATCTTGATGGAAATGGCTGGGTGGCGCGAAGCACAACCCAGGGGGGGTTTCCAGTTCCATTTGAAAGGTGGGGTAACCTAAGGAAGACAGCACATTTGGACTGATTGCCATGAAGAATGGAGGAACATAAAATCAAGCATTCAGAATGGCTGAGTACTTAGAACATGAGAATGGCATGAAACAGCAAGAACAATTGAATTAGGAATGGGACAGAGAACACAACAAAACTGAAGCCAGCAGAACTGGGAGCACAGCACACACACCGGCAGCTTGTGTTTCTAATCACAGCTTCTTTGATTATCTCTCAATCAGCTGGATAGCATCTCAATTTTTGTTCAACAACTACACACACACACACACACACACACACACACACATGAATAATGGTGATTTGCACCATAACAAATCATTTCTGCTTTCATTATGGCTCACAGTTGTTAAATGGAAGAAAAAAAATAAAGTGGCTGCCTGCAAGACAGGCAAATATTTTACACGCATTTTAAAAATTGCCTTCATTTTTAGTATAGGCATCTCCTTTTAATATTGACCTAAGAACACCACACATAATGATTACTGTGCTACACTGGATTCAAAGACTTCAGTTTAGTCAGTGCCCTTTGCGAATGGATTCGATGTAGAAAATAGAAACAAATTTCAGGTAGGACAGAAAAAGGTAATTCTTGACCTACGACAGGAAAAGACAAACTATTCGGGGTGGGGGGATGGGGAGGGAAGAGAATCTATAGATCAACTCCAGGAACCATGTAACTCTAGAGATGAGAGTATTGTGATGAGTGAGGAGACTTTGGTGATCTTGGAGACACAGGCGATCTTGGTGACACGGGTACAATCAGAAACACTGAGATCAAATAAAGAAAAAGGGAAGGAGAAGCATGAACACAAAGGAACCATTGTTCCCCAGGACAGGAATGGCCAACGCAGCAGGTTCCTCTCTTGTCAATTTCTAATCAAGGTGAATCCCAAAATGTGGAAATCGGGGTGTCTCCTGTTGGCTGAGAAATTCTGGGAGTTAAAGTCCACGCATCTTAAAGTTGCCAAGCTTGGAGACCTCTGCTCTAAATATTAGAGAAGGTTCCACATCCTTCCAAGGGGATCAATGAATGTGTCCTCACATTTACAAGAAAGAAGCATGGCAATAGCAATAGCACTTAGACTTATATACCTCTCTACCGTGCTTTCCAGCCCTCTCTAAGCAGTTAACAGTCAGTCTATTGCCTTCAACAATCTGGGTCCTCATTTTACCGACCTCAGAAAGATGGAAGGTTGAGTCAACTTTGAGCCAGCCAGAATCAAACTCCTGGCAGGGGGCTGAGTTAGTCTGTAATACTGCATTCTAACCACTGCACCACCATGGCTCATATCAACCTGACCATCGACTGTAGCACTGTGTGCTTCTCAGAAAATTATTCCCAGCGTTCAGGACAAGAGCCAGAGTACAGAACATTGCAGGAGTCTGCGCATTGACCATGCCTGTCCTAGCATTTAGTTTCAGCACAGATATGAAATGGCAAATGAATGGTACAGCACAATCCCACAGGTAAATATTAGGCTAACCCATCTGACAAAAATGGGGAAGTTCAGCGCTGAGGCATGGCATCTGGAAACGACGTGCATTAATTATAATGGTGGTTGGTTGCTTGGTTGCTTGGTTGGTTCTCTGAATCCACGGAGAGAAAGTTAAGATACAGTCTGGTCTTGGTGAGGACAAGGAGCTTTAGAGATGCTTGGAGAAGAGGAAGGACAGAACGCAAAACAAGAGAAGCACATTCTTTTTAGAGGGAAGAGACCTCTTTCATGATTGAACAGCACAAGCCACATTTCAAGAACAAATTTCTTAAAATGTCCACAGAACTTATATTTCTGCACTGCAGCGATGTAGGGGCGAACCCTGCAGCTCAGAGGCAGCGAATGCTTCCCCCAGGAGGCAGCACCCCAGAACATGGATTCTTGGATGTATGCATATGCAAGTGGACACATGCATATACACTCATCTTGCATGTTCAGGCCAGCACAGTGTTTTGTAAGCAGCCTAGCAACATGTCAAAAGCCAAAAAGTAATTGCTGTAACTTGTTCTTGATTGCACCTCCATGTTTGAAAGCAAAACTTTGGTTAACAACCTCAAGAAAAACTCTGAGCACAGAATTGGAACACTGGAGTTTCATTGCCCAATTAGGGGAGGTTTCAGAATGCAACAGCAAAGTTTGCAATCGCACCTCAGGGCTACAGAAGCTATTTGCAACTCTGTTAATTCAAAACAAGTGAACCTTTGGTGGTTTAGTCATACCCCAAATCCTATCTTGCTAAGTAAAAACGTATTTTAAGTGGACAAAAAGTCTCAAAGTCCCATATTATTAGATCAAAAACATATATATTTGTTACTCACTTGGGGGGGAAAATACATAAAATGAAATAAACTCAGTTACCATCAACAGTATCGTGGAATACATTATTTTCATCTGCAAAACTTCTGGTGCCTGATATGTTGCCATAATCAAATATTGGTCCTTCCAACAAAGTTACAATGTCGATCCGATTGATTTTTGTTAATACAGAAGTTAAGGCATCAGCTGTGGGGGCGAAAAGGACAAAACACATTAAAATTCTTGTTTGCAACTTTGAATTCTTTGGATAGGTGGCCTGTGGATTCACCGATCCCATCGGAAGCGTAGAGGAGGCATCAACTAAATATCAGAAATGGGAGCACATGAGCTGCAGTGCCCTGTACATTTTGAATTGCTTATTTATCAAATCCCAGTATGTCTTTTGATCAGTGAACGCACAATGCTGCATTAATAAAAAAAAACTTAACAGTGGCAACTTATTTTCCAAGATGTGGTGTCTCTCTCCAATATTATACATGCATGAAGGTTGGACGACCAAGGTTGTTGGATAAAGAAAATAAGCACTCTGGACACAGAGGGATTTGGTCTATGACTGCTCATTCACAGACATACTCCTGAGCCTGCCACCTATCAAGGAGCTGCATTCTTTTTGTAGGAACTTCAAGATGCAGCCCTTTCTACACAAATCTTAAACTTACTTGTAGCATTTTTTCCATCTCTTGTAACCCATTTCTTTAACAACATGAAGCTCTGAGCAATTAAAGAATTTGGGTTTTCCACTCGAATCTGATTAATTTCATCAACAGAAAAATTCAGCTCTCTTGCCAGTTCTACATTGTGGAAAAGAGAGAAGAAAAAGAATTACTCGTATTTTATTTGAATAGCCTGTGTAAAAATCAAATGTATTTCTGACATCAAATGATACCAGTTTTTATTCACAGAAAATTCAGCCTAAACTTCCCAACACACCTTAAAGGCCAAAGAGTGTAGGCAGAAAATAAGGAGAGCCACTTTCAGAGACAGCTTTGAGTTCCAGTCTCAGGAAGAGGGACTAAGAATGCTATGGGTTTTCTCTCCATTCTAAGTTCTTTTTACTTTGTTGGTCTCAGTCTGGACAGGAACAATGGTCCAGGAAGAGGGAGGACAGCGCTTGACAACCTCCAAACATACAACATTATGGCTTGGACTCCAGGTTTCCAAATCCAAAGCCGAGACCAGAGGCTTCCCTGTCATCATCACAACCCAGCTCCATTGCATCAGAGGACCAGAATTGGAAGGACGTCTGCTGTGGCCAGAATGAGGGCAAAATGAATGGACTCATCTGGGATAATTCCCACCCATCCAAGTGCAATGCTCAACCCATCCCCTTCCGTATCTGAGATGAATGCCAACCGGGCAGCTTCCAACACCCAATAGGAAGCTTTGTGGCTTACTTGGCTATTGTGATGATCTATTACACATCTGAAGCAAGAGAGGAGATACCAAAGTCACGGGGGAAGATTCCATGTGATGCAAGCAACTGTCCCAGTTGTAGCAGCCCTTACCTGGCCTCAGCTGACCTTAACCTGGGTAGCATTTGGAGGGAAGCCTCCATGCAATCCCAGGGCTGCAGACAGGATTGAGATGACAAAACATCATCTAGGAAAAGGTAATATCTCTTACACTGCTGCCCACAAAAAGGACATGGAGGCATCAATGGAAGCATCAACTCAACAGGCCCATCTTTACCAGCTCTATTATTTATTTTTGAAAATACCAGGAGCTCCAAGAACTCTGCTCTTTCCCATTTTCTTAATCTCTCTAATCTGAAGAGCAAAGTAGAGGGATCTGGAAGGAATAAGTTCACCCTGCCCTCCTCTGTCCATCAACCCATGGATACACACATCCAGGGAGAAACAACAAGGTGAGCCTCTTCGAGGTTGCTAGTTTCTAAAGCACCAGAATATTCCAAAATCTTACCTGTCCAACTAAGTCCCAGGTGATCAGCCACAATTGCCATCCTTATATCGGTCCGTTCGCATGGGCTCTGTGGACCTGTGATTTACAATGCTTCTATTAAAAGGGTGAAAGTGTTCTCAGCACTGACTAACAAAACTCTAATACACTGTTATTTTAATAGGTGCTTTTAGTCCAATTACTAAAAAGAATGGAATGCCCTTTTTTGGTTCTTTTTAAAAATATATATGTTTTCATAGATTTTCACGGGTGTAGGTATGCTGGTGTTGTTGTATTCGGGTCTTTTCCCCGTGTAAGATTGAGATTGTCTTGGCAACATTTCGGCGAGGTTTCACTCACCATCTTCAGGCTGGTGTTTTCGGCTTAAAGCGTGGTTGGAGCTGCCGTCTTTCTATAAATCGTGGTGGTGGGTGTGGAGTGCTGGCTTTGTTCAATAAGTGGATTGATTGGATGTGTGAATGTATCATGATTGGTAGATTGGTGCTGGCTGTGTATCCGTAGTTATTTTGTGTAGTAATGGCCTGGGTGGTGGGTGGGGCTCATTTGTTGACTAGGGATGGTTTCCAGATGTCTGGTAGGCGGGAGGTATCGTCAGATTTATAGAAAGACGGCAGATCCGATCATGCTTTAAGCTGAAAACATCAGCCTGAAAATGGCAAGTGAGATCTTGCCGAAACGTTGCCAAGACAATCTCAATCTTGCACAGGAAAAGACCCAAATACAACAAGACCAGCATACCTACACCCGTGAAAATCTACGAAAACACATACACACACACACACTCACACATACATACACACACACATGCAGATTCGCAGATCTGGAACTTTCCCCTTTGAAAGGCTAGTAGTGTTCATCTACATGATGTAAATATTGTGTAAATGGAACCAAACATGCTGACAATCTATCTAATGAGCTGTATATAACATGATTTAATTACTGCTGGAGGGGAGGGGGGGGAATAGCCCACCAGGAACTAAAGAATGAAACAAATTCTTTCTTTTGACAAAGGGCAATTTTTACTCTACGGGAGCATCTTGGGGCTGATATGAATGTCTTCGGCATGCGTCCCTAGCTATCTACTATACAGACTTCACATAAAGAGAGAAAGAAGAGCATAAAAGACAAAACACAGAGATGACAATGACAGAATGAGAACTAGAGGAAGTCACTACACAGGCAATCACAACAGTTCATGCACTAAGATCAACAAGTTGAAAGTTTTACAAACTAGGCTTGGCTTCCACAGGGTGAGCCCGGAGAGCTCCAGAAACCTGACTCCCTCCATTCTCACCAGTCCTTCTCTTACTCCTCCTCCTCCTCCTCCTGTCACTGTCGGACTTTTCAATCTTTGATTTTAATGGTGCTGCCTCTGTTCTCATATCTCTAGCGGGCTTCGTTGCAATGGATGGCTGGAAAACTTGAGTGGCTTCAGACAGGGATGTGGTTCTTGAGGTACTATCTTCTTCTTCCTCCTCCTCCTCCTCCTCCACCTCCTCAGACACTCCTGGTGGCATTTTTTTCTGTTCATCAGATAGTCGGTCGACAAGCTTTAAAGCCTCAATGCTAATTCCCTTAAAATATTCAATAGAATGTTTACATACCTCCCTAAGCTGACCTTGCTTTGCTTTAACAGTTGTTGCGGCTGCGGCTGCAGCAGTGATGGTGATGGTGGTGGTAGATCTTACCTTTAATGGTAATTTAGAAGGAAAAGAGTTGGCCTTGCTTCTCTCTATCTGCCCTTGGCTTTGAACGGGTGGCATTTTTCTAGCTAAGGCCAAGTTATGCCTCTCTGTGTTTTTTATGGGGATCTTAGACCTACCCTCTATGGGTGGAGAAGAACTGCACGGCTTCCTTGGGTCAACTTTCCTGGCCTCCCTGACATGACTCCCCCTGCTGGTCTGGCTAAGGCTATGCAGCACAGCTCCTTTGGCTTTTACGGGAAGCCGGGAGCGTGCTTGATTCCCGACTGGTTCAGAGGGCGCCTGCTGCTCTCTGGGTCTTTTCTGTTTACAGTCTCTTTGGGTTGCACCGGGACCGTTTGCTGAAGGATGTTTCATTGGATTAGCTTTCTGGGTGGGACACTTGGACTCAACGTGTTCATTTAGCACTACTGTACAAGTAAGGTGATTGGTAGGTGTGGTGCATGGGTCCAAATTGTTGTTGTTATTAAAATTATCTTTTGGAAAATCATACTTTTCTGCTTCCCTACTGCTGGTCTGGTTAAGCGCAGCTGTGTCTGCGACCTTCTCTACAACTTCGCGGTCTAACCCCTGAGTCCCTGGTGTCATCGTCTCTAGCTTATCTGCCATTTCCCCAGACATGTCTTTCTTCAGCGTCATGGTGGAAGCCGAAATGCCCATTTTAATCGGTGTACGCAATTTGGAATCAACTTTAGAAGCGTGAAGTGCCACGGACGACTTCTCCAGTGAGCTACAACCAGGTGCTGCTTCCATGCCATCTCCACTGGCCTGGAGGATGAGCTTAGGTTCAACTGTTGGTGTTTCTACTTCTCTCTCTATGGTTTTCTCTACTGTTTTGTCCCCTGACTGTGGCTGTGTGATGGCAGTGACTTTATTGTTATCCCCTTCCCCCTTGTCCCCTGACTTCCCTTCAGAAGTATGCTCACCAATCTGAAAAAATTGGAGTCTTTCTTCAACAAAATCCCTCTTGCTCATGTCAATTGCGCCACTGCGAGTCATCTCAAACATCTTCCCTTCATGAAACGGGAAGGGGTTGGGCTCACTAGTTGGGGTACTTTCATCTGTCGGCGTCCTAGCTGGCGTCGTGTCTGGGGTGGTGGCTGGAGACCTGTCTTCCACCGCCAGGCCAAAAGGCTTGGTGTCATCGTCCCTGCTCTTGGATTCAAAGACTTCATCATCCCCACGGTTACTGGACCAAGGGTCAAAATCTAGGCTCTTGGTTGCTATGGTTTTAAAAGGGGTGGCAAACTCTTCATCTACTTTGTAACTGAAATATGTGTCAGGAAACACGGTCCTGTCAGGATGCCGGCCTTCCAAAGTGAAGAACTGCGCCCCCGACTTTTGTTCGGCCTTATCGACATTTTTTTCAGCTGCTGGACATTTGGATAAGGGTTTCTTCTTTTCCTCAGAGCTGACTTTTTCCTCCTCCTCGATAATTTCCAGCTTACTTTGGCTAAAACTTCTGTCAGTCTGTTTCAAGATGCCTTCAGTAACCCAGAGATCTTTTTTAGTTTCTACTGCTGGATAGGCCTGCTTAGAATCGCTCTCGGTCAGCCCATCATCCTCGTCTTGCAGGTCGTACCCATCAAGAGAGTCAATTTCGGTGGCATCTGTATCGTGGGAGAATTCTGCAGTGGTTGCTATCGAGCACTCGGTAATTGACTGGTCATTGTTCCCATTGGGTGCCACATCATTCTGGGGGGATTCATGGGCCAAATCAAATTCATTGGCCTTTCTGGCCTCCGTTCCAGAGAACTTGCGCGTGGTGGCCTCCTTCCAGTCATCTTCGATATCATTTAGTTTAAACATGTATCTTTTAATGGGAACGGGCTGATACAGAGACTCATCATCGCTGGAGTCACTCAGATCTTCTGCTGGCGGCACAGGAGAAGGGGGCTGAACGCGGATGACGGGTTCGGCCAGCTGACGCCTTTCGAGTTCATCCTGAAGGTTGACTTCTGTCAGCTCCATGTCGCTCTCAGAGGAGGGACGCAGCTTTTCTGGTTCTGAGTGATCAGCATCTAATGGAGGAGGTGGTGGAAATTCAATGTAGGCCACCCGGTTTCCCTTCGGCCTTTTGTTAGATTCCCTGTCCAAGTTATTATTGGGCAGCTCTTGCTCGGTTGGGGGCGACTGTTTTATGGAGGTGGATTTGGCTTCGGCCTCCTCCTCTGACTCCTCCGACACCTCGGGGATTGGGCTGGGTTTGCCGGGGATATAAGCGATGAGAGAATCGGGTGTTTTGGAGGTAAACTCGTAACTCACTTCCTCTGAGCTTGGTGTCTCTGGGGTTAGGGGGCTTTTCCCAGAACTGTCCATGAAGGACACCTGCTCTAAGGTGTCATCCTCTGGGCTACCTTGGGGGGAGGGGAGCTGCTTCTGTGGCCTGGTGGTATAAAACCCCCCTCTCGTCTCTTGCACTGTCTTACTTTCCTGGCTTACAATTTTTTTGATCGTTCCTTGCTGCACCTCCCTTTCATATTGCCTCCCTACCTGAACAAAGCTGACGTAAACAGGGAGTGTTTTTATCTCCTTCGCTGCGTCCTCTGTGGCTAAAGGGGAGGGTTTCATCAGGTCAAATTTCTTTGCGGGAGACAGTTTCCCTGGACTAACTTCTAAGGAGTCTGGTGTCTTACTGGGGGATGACTTTGCCTCCCCCTGAGGAGGACTTAACTGGAAGCAACTGAGTTGCCTGGTACTGGTTGGACTATATTCTACCCCTTTCTTTTGTTCAGTCCCATCAAATTGTCCCTCTACTTTTTCCTTATCCATTCTGACGTGGGGCACGCGAGTTGGCAGTTCGTGGCGTGCATTTGGGGGCTGTCCTTCAGGAACACCACCCACCAAAATACTTTGCTCTTCTGACACACTTTCTGGAATATGGGCTGCCATCACTGGTTCTTTTTTCTTAGCAATCCTATCCCTCACTTCGGTGGGATAGTCCCCTTCTCTGACAAGGTATTCTCTATAAAGCACCTTTTTGGATGGAGACTTTACAGTCACTTCCTTCACCTCCTTAGAACCTGATCCATTTGTGGACACTTTCTGTTCATATTCGGTCACAGTGATCAGTTCACCAGATTTGGCCAGATCTTTAGTCTCAAGAGGGTCAATCTGGTTTTCATTGACTACATCTTGCACAAGCACATGGGAAAGTTTTTCTCTCTGGGCCTTATGGGAAGATGTCCCAGGACTTTCCCATGTCCTATAAATCTTTTTATCCCAGTGCCCCTTGGCTGGGACAGGCACCGCACTGGCACCATAGGCCAAGCCCTTCACTTTTTGCTCTGCAAGGGCAGAAACGGTATTGCTTGGTATTTCATCCTTGGCTTTGGGGACCTTCAGGGGAGGTGCATCCTCAATAACTTTGCCTTTGCCCCTGGGGCCATCTTGGAAGCAGCCAGCAGGAGGTTCCTTCTGCAATGTTAAGTTCCCATTCACCAGGTCTACCTCTTTGGCCTGTTTTTCTCGGGAGTAGAACTGAGAGACTGGGAGCTTGCTGTCCTGCAACTTTTTCACTGGGATCTTAGATGGCGCATCCAGCTTTTTCTCCTCTGGAAGCATCTCCTTACTTTTAGAGCCCAGGCTCTGTTCAAATTTTAGCCTAATGGAGCTGAGCTTGGATTGCTTCAGTTGGAACCCAGTTGGCAGAGCCTCTGGGATTTTGCTCTTCTGAGCTGCTCCCTTCAAGTCCTTTCTTGGGTGAGAGAGAATCTGCCTCTCTGGGCTGCTGGGCAAACTGGCTGCCTTCCTCTCCTCAGGTTTTGGCCAGCCCTTCCCGTCCTGGGCACAGACTCCTCCTCCTCCTGCCCAGTCGCCTTGTGATTCAGAAGCAGTCACCTTCTCCGGGCTGCTGCTTGCTGATCTAAGGCCCACACCAGCTTCTCTCCCATTCCTTTTCTGCTGCTTCTTCGGTGATTGCAGTTCATCGTTCAGTTTCTCTGTCTTGTCCCGGAAGAACTGTGAGACTTCAGTCAGCTTCTCTTCAGCCTCCTTAACCGTCCTGTCCACCCTGTCTTCATACATCAACTTTTCTCTACCTCTGTCTAATCTGTTCTCGGCAAAACGCATCCACATAGCATGCTTTGGGCTACTAACATCTCCGGAATAATGCAACACTGTCACTTTCTCATAAGGATCATCTTTTGACATTTTACCCACACCATTTTCTGATATCTCTTTAGAGATTTTGGTGAGGATGTCTTGTGGGGACACTGTGGCTATTTTTTCTCTGGATCGTTTATCAGGCCCCTGAAAGTCTGAACTAAGGGGGGGGACATGGTCAGTAACTGACTCCTCTGTGTCTGAGTAAGACACATCTAGCTTTTCTGAGAGAAGCATTTTCTCAGCAAACCTGTAAGATTCCCCTCTTAGTTCTGACAACTCATCATCATGGTATTCTACTGAGTGTTGACTCAAAAGCTTCAAGGTTTTGTACGAGTCATCAGACATAAGTTGGGCAGAACTAGGGCGACTGTCTTCTTCCTGGGAGACAGGAGTGTTTACTCTAGAAGATTCCAAATAAGAATGGAGGGACTCTTCGGCTGTCAGTTCTTCTTCTTCAGGCTGACCTTGTTCATCCGAACAAGGAAGAGCCTCCTGTTTTTCCACATCCCCTTGTGACAAGTCTTTCTGATATACATACATTTCTTTCTCTGGATGCTTTTTGGTTTCTCTAATAATGACTTCGGTAGGCTCAGCCTGATTACCTTTTTCAATATGGACCTCTATTATACGCTCCAGTTTGGGTTTCATTTTGTAGTCCTTCTCTGCGGGCTGGGATGACATTTCAGTGGATTTGCCAGCCTCTGGGGAGACCGAAGACTTATGCTCAAACAGACCTGCCAGCTCCTTGGAAGGGTCCCGTCCCGACTGAAAAGCTTTCATGATGTCCTGGACAGACATGGTTTCCTCTATTCTCTCGGAAGGGCTCTGAGTGCATGGAGGTTTGTGGTAAACCATTCTGGTGGTGGTACTTATGTGGGTTTCTTCTTTCACCCGGACCCCTTTAGCCAGGGCACACTCGTCTTCACTACTGGCCTTCACTTGAAAGGAATTGACCTTCCCCTTGAGGGAGCCCCCGTTGGGCCGGGGCTCCAGCTCCATAAAGGTGCTAACCACTTTGGGCGAGGGAGGCTCTTCTGCATGAGGCTCAGAGGCCTCTCCCCCAGGTGAGGGTTCATAGCTACGGATCACATGCACCACTTCAGTCCTGGTCTCTGTGATCACCGGAGGGAGCGGCACCTCATGGAAAAGGGGCTTCGGCCCCGTGCTCTCTGCACTCTGCGGGGCTGAAGGGGTCTTCTCACTCCTGGTCTCAAAGCCGCTATCGGACAAAGGACTTTTATCTTGATCGTGCTGGGAAAAGTCATCAGGGGACTCCAAGACAGTGTCCGTTCCAAAAAGGGAATCGGCAATTTTACACAATTCTTTCTCAGAAGTGGATGGCCTCACGGAGGCTGGCGGCATTTTGAGTTTATGTTCTTGTAGCGCAATGGCTGGTTTTAGGACCCTTTTCTGCCTCTCTTCCCCTTCCCTTCTCCCGTCGTCAAACTTGTACTTTAAACTCGCCAGGGAGCTACTGCCAATGTCATTCGTTAGGTAATCAATGACTTTGCTCAGGTTGTAATCCTTTTCAGAGACAGCCTTGGCTTTGAGCTGCACCTTTTCTGGGATGGTCAGAGGAGGGATGGTCATGCCCTGTCGCTTGGCTTCATCAATCTCACCTGCACTGAACTCTACCCATTCATCCTCAGAGGACTGTCCTTTATCGTTCTGAGAGAGTTTGGCTTTATTCTCTACACAGACATCTTTTTTCAGTATCTCGCTAACTTTGACTAGGTCCTCTTTCACTTTCTCAACCAGCTTAAAAGGTTCTTCATCATCTATCCTACCCTCTTTGGCCAGTTCTGGTTGGAATGCCTTCTCCTCCATTACATCTGTCTGCAATATTGCTGTCATTCTCATTAGGTCCTCTTTCATCTCAGCCACATCTTTTAACATCTCCTGACTAGAAGACAGAGATGTGGACAACTTAAGGGCGGAGGGTGCTAAGAACAAAGATGATTTGACGGGAGATGAGGTTCGGTTAAAGGGAGATTGGGCGCATGTCTCTGTAGTCAATGTTTTAAGAGGCGAGAGCAAGGCAGCTGCTGATTTGGCCAGGGAAGGTGACTCGGGGAGCTTCTTTAGTGCTGGTTCTGACAAAACATTGACTACAGAATAGACGGGCACCGTGATGGTTGATGAAGTTACTGACGAGGTAGTTGCTGAGATTGACCCGAGAGACGTATAGAGCACCCCCGTGGAAGGAGCTCTGATTGACTGAAAGGCGGACGGAGTCGAAGACACGTGCGACCTGAGGGGAGAAAATGGCTTTGTAGGAGTCGCCGGCAACATTTTCTCAACTGTGTCACCGGCTGTTTTAACGGCACAGCTTGCAGAAGCGGCTGCCACCCCCATCTTCTCCTGAAAGGCAGCTGTGGCCTTGGGACCGCCGATCAAGCTGATGGGAGATGGGTATTTCAAAGGTGATATGGATCCGTTCACCATGGCCACCTCTGTGTGCCCAACCATGTGTTTCCCAGGGGAGGCAGCCATTGTGACTTTAGAGGGTGACACGGCATCAACTGCTGATTTAGCAGGGGACACCACCGATTTTAACGGTGAAGACAAGAGAGGAGAGGCTGAGGTGATGATGGACTTAAATGGCAGGCCCGAAGAATACATGTTAAGGTTAGATTTGGGAGATGCCGGAGGCGTCATGGTAATGGATGACCTCTCTAAGAGAGACCCGGCTGTGGTCACAGGTGATGTCCGAGTGGGGAACACAGAGGCTGACACCAGTCCTTTCAAACCAGCAGCTTCCGTGGCCGTAGGAGCTCTGACAAAGGCCCCGGGAGAGACTTGGACATTATAGGGAGGCTGGGAAACCATGGTTTTCATAGGCGAGATTGTCCGAAAGGATCTAATTGGAGAAGCTACGTCACTAACGGATTTAACGGAAGATGTGGTGGAGGCTCCTAGCGTGGATTTGATGGGCGAAGCAGAGGAAACCGACCAGATTGACTTTAGTGGGGAAGCAGTTGGTGTGTTAGAAGACGAGCTGGAGAGGGAAGTGAAGCCCGATTTGCTTTGTCCAGGCACAGTGATGGGTGCTGTGGTCCATGACTGATAGGGTCTTGCGGACAAGAATGGCTTGTAGGAATAGGTGGTGGGTAGGGATCTCGTAGCCGTGGCACTCCGTTCAACTGTTTCTTAAATGGTTAAACCAAAATAATATATAGAGATATATAAAACGTAAAAATCAACAAAAATGGTTGAAAAACAGAGAGACCAGAGAAGAAAATTGGTCAGTAAACGTTTTGTAATATTACAAAAAAAGCAAATACAATTGTTCGTATGAATCAGAATGAAATAGGTAACAATCAATGGCTAACAGGAGGGGGGAAAATAGGAATGAGCCGTGTAATTGTGGATAATCAAAAATGTTTACAAAAAGGGAAAAGGAAAAGACAACAAGAAAGGAAAAACAAAAAAGCACAAGGCAACCGAATCTGCAGACAATGAAGAAAACAGAAAAGGCTAAAAAAACAAAAAAACAAAACAAAAAAAAACCCAGAAGTCCACGCTGGTCCAAAGTAACAGCCAGAACCAAAAATTCTTCTCTCACTTCCTATTGACTTTCTGATGTGCTGAATTTGAAGTTTTAAACCTTTCAGTTCCATTTGCCTGTTAATTTATATGTCTTTGCTGCCAGCAAGGGTCACAATTTCCTCAGGATTGTCTACTTTTTACATTTTTGTTAAGTTCTTGTATATAGGGTTTGTGCGTGTGACTCTGAGCAACTCTGCTTGAGAAACACTCCCGAATCTTTCATGCAGAGAGTCCCCTCCCCCCCACCCTCCCAAAATCTCTCAAAGTGGCAGGCAATTGATGTGCAAAGTGTGAAGCCAAGGGGGGAATAAAGTCAGACCTCTCTCCCATGCACGCTTGGTTAATGCTTCAGGCTCACAAAGCCAATAAGAGCAAGAGCTTTTCTGACTCAAAAGATTAAAACAACAATGAAAAAAAAATTCCTCTGAAAGTCAAATTATTCATGCAATAGTCCTTTAGCTTGGTAAAACGTAAATAAAAAGCTTTGTGTGGAATGACTTTAACAAGCATTTGTCATACAGAAAAAAAGAATACAATTAATGAAAAAACATGGCAAGCGAAGCAACCAAAACGTTTTCACTTTTATTCATGCATGATTTTATCATGTCAAAACAAGCATGAGGAATAAAATGACATGTGCGGTGTGTGCTATGTGGATTACATCAATATTCAGAATTATTTCCACAGAAAACATTTTAAAAGAATAAGAGCCCACTTTTTCTACAAGGCTGAATGTCTTGGTACCTTTCGAGAATAGTTTTTCAAAGCAAGGAATACAAAATTCATATCCCTCATTTAAAAGCAAATGATGTTGTTTGTGAAAATGGTTTTCCTGGCTTCTCTATTGCTGATGTGAGAAAGCTGGTTTAATCTGATCCCGAGAATTATTAAAGTTTATGTTCAAAGAAACCTTCGAAAGACGATTGAATTTATCCTTCTAAGTTTTAAGTTCTAAGGCTGAACAGACAACCCTAAGAATACCAATTCCAGGAAAGCCTTCAGTCCTATGATTGGCCTTCAAAGTTCCTGTTCATAAGATACAAGTGATGGTTTGATTTGATTGATTGATTCATTCATCTCAATTTTGGCACTGACCAATTCCAAAGTGATTCTGGGAGGCATTGGCATGCGGCATCAGATGGTGCCACCTCTATAAAAAGAAGGTTAGCTTCAAATTAGGAGATTCTTAGCTACATTGATGGAGTTTTACCACCAGCTTCTTCCCTTCCTTCTATTAGAGAGACAGGTGGGGTCTGGTAGGTAAGAATGCTCATCATTTAATTTCCCGTGTGTTGCTATGTTAAGGGAACTGGGGGGAAACACAATGTGGTAGGTGACAATCCAGTGCCAGCAGTTGGGAGCATTGTGCCTGTGATGCCGATGTTTTCTTACTATAGTAGCTAGAATTTCCCAGTGCAGGAATGTAAAAAATGTAAACAAGTTTGCACATTGAATATACAAACAAACAAACTGCTATGCAGTGGAAAATGTAAGCCGAGAGGGCACCAGAAGATATGAGTTTGAGAATCAGCTACAACAGTCAGAGGCTGACAACTGTTGTCTGTGGCTCATCTTACCACATTACACTGAGTCTCTGGAAAGCTTTGAAGAGTTGAGTTGGCTGAGGGGACTCTGACACGTGAGCTGATTAAAAGAAAATATGACAATGGACCAAAAATGGTCCAGGGTGCTGCTAACTTTGCATGCAGGGAATGCCTAGGAGACACAGGCTTTGAAGAAAAGGGAGGGCCATTGTCCCGATCCCTGAAAGTTCTAATTAATTTATGTCATGCCGATATTAAAGTGATAAAGGCATAATCCCCATGTCAATGAAATAACCTTCTCCTATGTTTTTGCTAAAGTTCCTTTGATAATATTTCAAATCAACCTGGCTGTTTTCCTTGTAGGTTTATATCATTGTATAATGCAATTTTAATTTAAAATTCTATGTATCTATTCACGGCACAGTCGACCCCACAGAAATCCATAGGTTGGACTTCTGTAAGATTAACTGTACCGTGAATAAATACATAGAATTTTAAATTAA